TCCACAGGTGATGCCTTCAGCCACTCGTATATGCGTCGGACCGGATCTGTGAGTAAGAAGCGACGGACTACCCGACCGCCGGAATATCTGAACTGTATACGTGTGGTCTCCTTCGGATCTGTAGATGTAGGCTCCTCATGGTCATTGTTCGAGGAGATGCGTGCAAACGGTGTGTCCTTAGTCTCTTCCTCTGTCGGTGTGACGTCCATCATGTCAGGTCCTGTGGTAGATGTGCTACTCGAGTCGGCAGCCTTGGTGAGAGAATCTGGATCAACCTCCTTACTCTTGCTCGAGCCCTCGCCCATGCTGTTCTTCAAGGCCATGTCAAGCATCTCTTGCTCTGACATCTGAGTGACGTCCTTCTGGCGCTCCTTGCGTTTGGCTTGCACTGGATTCTTCCTGGTCATATTAAGACTGTATCTATCAAGGAACTCATGCAGCTCTGACAAGAATTCGAGAGCTTTCGGTGCTGGTGCTCCCGACCACGTCTTGACCTGTTCGCCTGTTCGTGGATCGACGATGGCAATGTGTGGGTAAGCATCGTCATTATCTCGCATATTATTGAAGTAGTAATTGACGTAGTCTTGACCACGTGGGTCATCCTTCTGGTACTGGAGGAAGATGAAGTGTTCCTTGACAGTCTCGCGGATGGACTCGTTCTTCCAGATGTCACGATTTAGTACCTGACAGTCGAAGATGCTTGGATCCTGGACGTTAACCAGCAGCCATTTCTCATTCTCTTTGCCTTCATCGCGAGCAGCCGAGAATGCGAGTGGTGAGATGAGATCGAAGGGTGGTCGGAAGAGGTCGGCGAGTAGGTTTGACTTTGCGGTCTGTTCAGAAGCGCCGCCGGTTGCGCGAGCCAGTGCTCGGCGATGTGCTTCAGGATCGTGTGGATTGTCGTTTGTCCATATCGAGGCATTCTCACGCTGGTTGAATATGCCCGGAGCTGCTCGTCGTCGCTGTCGTGCCATCATCTGTTCTGCGATCGCTGCTCGCATCTGGTTTGGATCATCCTGCCAGTCACTGTCTGGACCCACCAGTGTCTCGGTCGTGCGTGCTATCGGAGCTCTGATCTCATCATCGCCTCTTCCACCAGCACCACCATACATCTCCTCTTGCAGTCGTCGTGCCATAGCCTCGTCGTCATCATAACTTGCTGCCTGTGGTACTGATCGGCTGCCGACCTCTTGTAGATCGTCATCATCGTCATCGTCGATCGTAATAGGGTCTTCGCGACTTGATGCTGCTGGGCGAGCTGTGTTCGAGGCGGGAGCAAGATTAGGATCGTTGAAATAGAGTTCTACAGCGTGCTCGACATTTCCGTCTGTGAGTGTGAGGTATTGCTGAGCTTTCTCTGGTGTGGCAGAAGTGAAGCTACAAAACGTCGCGATGCTTTCTTCGTCCATGATGGTGTGTGACAGATGTGTGTGGGATTAGAAGTGCAGCCGAGCATGCGAAGTCCGATCGTGGACAGTGGATTTGCCTGCTTGTGGTAGCGTATGGATGTGGCAAAGCTTGCGACCGGAGACCTTGATGGAGCCCGGAGAATCGAGTGTGCTGGAAGGAACCTGAGATGAAGTGAATCTAAAACCGCCGATCAGAGGGCAAGGAAGAATGTGTGTGTGTGTCTCGTGAAAGTCGTGATCCAGGTGGAAGAAGCTCTATTTGGAACGTCATCGCCTGACGGCGAATTCTCGGGAATTTCCGATATCGCATGTGACTGTCTATCAAGAAGAGGGCGTTCTCTTGACGCGCTGGCTACGGACATATGGAGACATCTCTATGATCATTCAGGTCATGCAGGGCACTCTGAAGAATGGGTATAGTACTGAACAAGGAGTACATCTACCGTACTGTGCTTCTCGTGCTCCTAGTCCTGATGTTGCAGCTGCAACCCATGCGTTCAGCAGTGCATGTGCTGTTACGAGACCATTCCTTCCGCACTCTCAAAATGTCGTCTGCGCAAGGCGACTCGCAGCATTCCTGGCATCAATGCGGTCGTCTTCTTCCTCTGCCAGCTTGGCAAGATTGCTTGTATTGCTGCCCGCTCGCTTTCGTGCCTTTGTTGCGCTGCCAGGCTCTTCGTTCTCCCCGTCTTCTTCTGGCACTTCGGACACACCAGCGAAAGAGCCCGACATGCTTCGATTGAGACCGTCAGGTCGACGTGGCACACCCGACCATGCATCACCCTTGGGACCTTGCGAAGAGGCCATATTTGCGCGGCGAGTGACAGGATGACCTTCACGACCAAGCCGAGACAGACCTCCTGACGCATCAATCGCTCGAACGTCGGGTCGAACTTGCTCGAGTGTTGCTAATGTGCGACGCTCTGCATCGATCTCTCGAATGACATATTCTCGAATGGCTACGCGTAGATCTGCTGATGATCGGGCAAACCATTTGCGCTTTTCGTTGAGCAAGTTGGTGGTCACTCGTTGCGTCTTTGTGTGTAGGTATGATTCGTGAGTCTTTGCTTCGTCAAGTGCAGAGATGGCTTCATCCACCTTGTCTCGCTTGACACTTGAGGAAGCCTTGAGGCGATCTGCTGCAACAAGTTTCGATCTCGTAGTCTGTTGTGCTTGCAGAAGCTCTCGCAGAAGGATGTGTCGGTTCGTGAGTGTCTCCTTGACAATAAAAGCATCGCTGGATGCATATGCTAGTGGATCTGAGAGAGTTGTGGCTTCTGCTGTGCCTTGTGCTGCATGGAAGTCGCCAGTATTCTGAATCAGCCTGCCAAGCTTGCGGTATGCATTTCCAAGGCCAGTATGTGTCTCCTGCGCTGTTAGGGAGGCCAGCTTGATGCCTAGATCAGATTCTGCTACACCGAGTGCTGTGCAGGGTCAGTACAGCCACAATTGAAGGCATCTCGACTTACCTCTTCGATTCTTCACCACCTTGTCGATCTTCTGTTGTGCGTCCATGGTCCCAAGGTAGAATGATTTAACCACAGGTCGGCTCTCAAGCAGCTCAGGCGTATCGTCTGGAGGTGGCGCAAACTGCTTGAGCACTTTTCTCCGCATACCTGTAGCAGGTTGCTTCTTTCGTACAACAGGAGAGTAGCCAAAGTCGCTCTCAACAAAGAAGACCATCTCTTCATCCCGCATAAGGACCTCGTTGCTGCAGACTGTGTTCAGCCATCGCTGTAGAGCTGCTTTCGTGCGCACTTCATCTTCTTCAGTGCCCACGCCAGCAGAAGTCGACGCTGGAGGAACAGCCGGGACCAATGCTTCAGGATTTGAGGCCTGGAGGTGGGAGAATAGCTTCTGAAACTCAGAGTGTGTTCGACGGATGTCTCGGATCTGGGTGGTACGAAATTTGGGGAGGTTGGTCTGCTCTTGTCAGTGAACGTCTTGATTAGCTGCTTCAATCTTACATATGCATCGAACCGTAGAATTGGGTCCTTCTTGGCTGTTCGTTCCAGGTTTGTGATCTTCAGCTGAAGCTTATACTGAGGACCGGATTGCTTTGGCTGAGGATGGTATCGTGATGCTGGGGCCCTTCGAAGGTCGTCTTGGCTCGCGGTGAGATCTCCTGCTTGTCGATCATCGTGTAGCTGTGCCTGTCCCTGCGCTCCTGTCCAGCTATTTCTTGCACTCCCAGTATTGTCGCTGGGAAACTCTTCACGCTGCTGGTCACTGAATGAGGTCCTATTAGCCTCAGGACTGTTCGCCCAAGGACTCGAGCCTGCTGCATACCCTGCGCTTTGCGCGTAGTCCATGCCGCCTCCGTCTCTGTAGCTGCCCTCGTTGAAAGCTCTTTCTGAGATGCGACGCTGGAAGCGTAAATTCTGCGGGCGTTGTGTGACCGCTTGCTTGCCTGCTGCTTTCGAGCTCTCGGCGGTCGGTGAGCTAGGAGATGCTGCTGATGAGGACGAGTGATCGACACCAGGAGAGTTCATGACGATGCAATGCGAACGGCTTTTGGAGATCTGACGTCTGGTATTGTGGTTGATGCGTGCCGCTTAACCTTTCTGGACAAGCCGGTCAATGCTGGTGCTTCATGCCGTCGACCTGCGCTTGTGAAGAGTACATCTACATTGTAATGTCACAAATCTGACACTGCGGCATCGGGCGCGTCACTCTTGATCCTGGGCTGCAGCTGACTACTGTGCGACCATCGACGTTTGACTTCACGCCATGCAGGCTCATGCATTCATCCTGTAAGCATCAGCACTGACCGTAGTATCACCTTCGGCTCAGTACTGCACTGGTCCGATTCGACGAGATGCACGAAGGGTCGACATCGTCTGATGTTTGGATCTACGTGAACAGCACACCATGGATGAGACAAGCTGTGTGAGAGGCATCAGCACAGCAGATCAGCTCTGTGTTGGTGCACCTCTGCTTGCTGTAGTCGAGCTGCACTCACAAGATCAAGACCATAGCATCAGCAGTCGGTCTTCAGGCTCTCGCTCGTTCTCACGAACTCGTGTCGATAGGAACAAGTACATCGTCTATCAAGCCGCGTAGGAATGACTGCAGCTTTTCTTGTAAAGATGGCCTCAGAAGTCATTATTTCTTTCGTGGGAAGTCGCAGAAAAGATCGATCCTGGTGGCCATGACCCCTTTCCACGTTCGCTGCAATATCCGCTCCCAATCAGTGCATAGAGTCATCCGGTGTCACGATGAGAGACCGTACCGACCGGCTTGAGGTGCAGATATCTCTTCTGTACTGAGTCCTCCACTGCTGGTCTTGGCAATTGCGCCGCTTGTTGACACTATATCATCTCCTTGGTGGAATGATCTTTGCACATCCCGGCCATTGACAACGAATCTTGTTCGGCGCGTCGATCTCTGAGACGCAGAGGGGGTCTTTCGCAGCCTACGAACAAAATGCATATGCCTGTGCTTTTGACAGAGATTAGCATCATCCAGCCAGTGCATTTGCCGCTGATCGATCGAGCCAATATCGCATCGATGTGTCTCCTCTCCTCATGCCAACACCAGCGGCCCTGATCGTCATGTCCTCACGATACCTGAGCCAGGATCAAAACAAAATACCAGCTGGGAGGATCGAACTCTCGACCTTGTCCGTGTGAAGGACACGTCATACCACTAGACCAAGCAGGCGCAGTTTAGAAAAAATTGGATTTCTAGTTCTTGAGGCGCTTCGAGCTGAGGCGGTCCCGATGCGATCAATGGGCACGACGGCGAGGTAGTGCTAGGCCTCAGAAGTGCAAAGGGATGAACAGCTATGCAGACTGCTTATCGAACCTGTGTAATCAGCAGACGATACTGCAAGGTCGCCGAGCATCATTTGGAACGGATATCACCATTCTGGCGGGGAGTATGTGAACGAACAGGACAGGCAAATCGTTCGGCCGTGAACACCCTTTGGGGGTGATTAGTTCAGGAAAGCTATCAGAAGGGCTCGCTAATACGCTGAGATGCCACACAAGTACAGACCAGGAGACATCGAGGCATCACCCAGAGACCTCGACGACTTTCGTAGAGTGCTGAGAAGCGGCAGCTTCATCCTCCACATCTTTCCTCACCAGAGCTGCTTCGGTCAGCTGGTCGCCTTCAGCGATATCATGCTCAATCGACGCACCAGGTCTGGCATCAATTTCGTCAAGCGGCGTCACAGGAACGTCGCCATCTGTATGTCGGGGAGAGAAGCCTGGAGATGTGGAAGGGAGCTCTGGGCCAAATTGGTCGACCTCTTCCCATTTGCCGTCATCGTCGTCATCTTCGTCCTCAAATGCTTCGTCGTTCTCATCCTCTTCAGTCACACCTGGCATGATCTCACCACTACGCCGACCAGACATTGATCCAGAGCGAGAGGGAAGCGAGACTCGGCCAAAGCCGCTAGGACTCGATGTATGGCCAATGGGTCCCTTGAAGACACTGCGTTTCCTGCGTGCGAAGATCGGTAGTCCCGGAGACGCAGGCATAGCAAGAGTGAACGGTGAAGGATTGTCAGATAAAGTGCCGAGAGGCGCTGGTGTCTTTCGGCTTCTCACACCAACGCCAATGCTCGGAGTGCCAGGTAGCACCTTGACAGACGAATGGGGCGACCGTCCAAGCCGTGCTGACGCTACTGAAACACCGCCAGGGCTGGCAACTGAGTTTGATGACGTTGAGGAAGCCTTTGACAAGGTGTGTATGTGTCCTGGCTGGAACGTACTACGGATAGACGACACAGACGAGCTCGTACTCTTGCGACCTCGAAGGCCCACTGAAGACCGTCGGTAAGAAGAGAGCGGTGTCAGCGTATGAGGACTCAGACTTTGCCGCTTCGTGATTGTCGGTTTGTCCGTCTCAACACGCGGTCGAGCAGGCAGGGTAGCACGATATGTCAGCTCCGGCCGGCTGCCAATACTAGCTTTCCTATGTGTTATGGGACCCGTAGTCGTCCGCGCCAGCTCCTGACGGTCCTGTGTAGGAGGCGCATTTAGGTCTTGCGCACTCTTGCCCTTGCCTTTACCCTCGGTGTGAGGCGACTTGTTGCGTCGTGCGCCTTCTTTGATCCAGTGTTTGAGCGCAGCAATCTGCTCACGGAGAGGTTGCTGATAGAAAATGCGTCGCTTTCGCGCAGGCGGCACATATGCTGGACCGAGCAGGTCTGGATTGTTGGTGACATTTCGCAACATGCTGCTACTGTTGCGACTGATGGCTCGTGGGCGTCGAAGCGGTGCCAGTGCCATGTCCTTAGGTGGTGGCGCTGGACGGCTGCGACTCCTGCTTGTGCTGTCCAGTCGTGCTGTGGTCGAGGTCGGAACTAGCTCCAGGGGATTAAGCTGATCTTCAGTGCCAGGAGTCCGCGGTTCTGGCGTTGGTGTTCTCCGTTCGTCGAGTTGAGGTAGCTCCATATGCTGACTCTTGGCCTTCAGACTGCCATTGGTGCGGGTCAGTCTTCGCCCTCTGCTGCCAGGAGAGTCTCGTATAGCTATCTCCTCGCCTTCGTTGAGTGCACCCAAGAGCCGTCCACTAGCAGCACTTAGTCGTCGAAGAGCCTTCACTTCAGCCTCTCGCTCTTTGCGCTTGCGATCTCGTCGTCGCTGCTTGCGCACTTCTTTGTCCATCAACAGGGCCCACCAGCCAGCCAGAGCATCACACCTCTGTGACAAGACGTTCTCAATGACTTGATCGATATCGACACCAGCACTGCGCATTCGTTGGAGAGTCTCCTTCTCGAGGTCAGTTGTGAAAGGTGCAGGCTGTTGAATCTTCAAGATCTCCTGCTGCTGCGGTGCGTGCTCTGTGAGCCACGGATCCTTGAGCACATCAGATAGCGAAGGTCGTAGCAGAGGTCGTTTCGAAAGCAGCTTCTGAAGCAGATCCTTCGCTGGCTGCGGGATATAGTCGTGATAGTTCGGCTCCTCTTTCAAGATCAGTGCCTTCGTCGCTGCGTCGTCATCTTCGTCGAATGGCAACTCGCCGCATAAGAGTGCATACAGGATGATGCCTAGGCTCCAGACATCGACTTTCTCGCCTGCATACTTCTCGCCCTTTAGCATTTCCGGCGCCGAATAGCACACTGTTCCGCACCACGTCTGCAGATAGCTTGTTGTTCCTTGATACTCTCTTGTGAAGCCGAAATCCACCAATTTGACGTTGCCATTCTTGTCCAACAGTATGTTCTCCAACTTCAGGTCTCGATGCACGCACTGCTTGCCATGGACATAGCTGACGGCACCTACGAGCTGCGTGAACGTCTTCTGCGCTTTGTGGGTTTCCATACGACCATGCTGTGATAGGTGATTGTATAGCTCATCTCCAGGACAATACTCGAGCACCAGCCATACCATCGACTCGGTGACGATCACCTCATACAGCCGCGCAATGTGAGGGTGGAGGAACTGCCGATGGTGGTGTATTTCCCGAGCCAGGTTCGCATCCTCTTTCTTTGCGCTCTTCAGCACAACCTTGGAGCCATTGGTGAGTTTGTGTGAGGCGAGGTAGACCTTGCCGAAGCTGCCTTTGCCTATAAGCTTGCCGACACTGTAGTTCCCAACGGTAGTGAGGTCGCAAGAGGAGAACTCGTTGAGGAGGGACTGGTAAGAGTTCGCAAGCTGTGTGCGGTGTCAGTGGAGGGTCAGTTGCAGACCGCATGCCAAATACCTTGCTCCTGTGTTCTTGCAAGTCATACTCTGCCTGTGACCTCACTGGCGGCATAGGCACCGGCCCTCACGTCTTCGACGAGTGGTAGTGTTGTTGTTCGCGACCACTGTACTTCTCAGCCCTATCGTATTCGTCGATCCGTACGGCCGGCTTGGTCGGGAATGAGCTGTCAATTGAGATCGTGAATGTGAACGCTTTGCTGTAATGACTGGAATTATGGAGGGCCACGACTGTAGAACGTAGGGCATCTGCAGGAATAGTTTCGAGCTGTGGATAATTGCGCAGGTAATAAGCTGTCGCATGGCCGGATGTGCCTCGCGCGCGGAATCATGAAATGAGGCTGTGAGTAGTCGATTGGACCGTTCGAGCTTGAATCCTGTTTTGTGGATCCCTGAACCTGGCCATTCTATCAATATAACAATGGCGAGTCCTGTTCATAGTGGATCTCTGAGGTGACACGAGACGATGCTGCTCAAACAGCGCCGGCAGGATAGCCGTGTGCCTCATGAGTTGGTCACCAAGGTGTCACTGCTTGGATCCTACCAAGTTTCCCAAGCATCAGAGATGGTATTCATTCGGCTGATTACACTTTGCTGATCTACGGTCCACCAAACTACAAGCCAGAGTCGATTTGATCGACGACATGAGTATCTGTATACGCCCACCAATTCCGACAGTTGTCTGCCGCAGTCCCTGGGACATGCAGATTGTTCACAATGTCACTGGGCTTCTCAAGGATGTTGATGTTCATGCCCTCACTGATATGCCAAGCAACGTGGCAGTGAAATCTATAACTTTGTCAGCACAGCTTCAAGGATAACTTCCGAATACCTTACGCCCAGACACCTGGATTGTCCAGCTCGATCTGAACAACAAGATATCCATTCGGTGCAATCAGCTGTGTGTCACGACGCTGAGGGTTGGAAGCATTGACAATCGTGCCATCCCAGGTACCGAAACCAGCAGCCAGCACCTGGAAGTTGTGGCCGTGAACGTGCATAGGGTGTGAAGCAGGGAAGCCAACACTGGTCATGACGAATCGAACGGAGGATGCATTGCCCATGTTGTACACATTCCTTATCGAATCGAAGGAGGTCTGACCGACTGCTGCGTCGAGGAAAATTGGATCGTTGTAGTCGCCGATGAAAGTAACGTTGTTCATGTACCAGACGAATGCTCCCGTGGCGTTGTAGTTACCTGTCATGAGGATGTTGATAGTGACGTCTGGATCGCTCACTGGCATCTCATAGGCTGGATGGGTCAAGGAGAGATCGCTGTTTTGGCAGGCATTCGGGAAGAGGTATCGTGATGGATCGATGCTCGAGGTCGAGGTTGGGACTGCATCCGTGCTGGCGCTCTCGTAGTATATGGCCGCCGTAACGTTCGGGGCGATGCCATCGTTCAGGCTGCAGCCAGTCGCGCCAGCAGGTCCCAAGCCAGAAGGACCTTCAGAGACACGCATCCAAACAGCCTCGTCTGGGTTATTGCCGCCAGTGACAATGATATCAGTACGCTGACCGACTGCCACGGTGACCAAATCTGTCATGTATGGCACGATAGGCACAAAGTCGTTGGCAATGACCTCGAGCTGATAGCCATCGATACTGAAGAAGAGGATAGCTTCCGCGCTGTGGTTGATCAGACGAAGCAAGTGCCTCTTACCAGTCTTGAAGGAGAACTTGGCAAGCCCTGCGTCAGGTGTGCACTGCTTGGTCGTCTTCTCACATGGGTAGTTCGCTTTGCCATTAATGAGCTGTGTTATTCAGCGTTTGTGCTGGATAGGTAATCGTTCCATACATACCACGTTGTTTGCCATCGGAGGAAAGTTTGGTCCGTTCGGTTGTGCGAAATACACTTGTCTAATGAGAGGGAGGTAGTACGAGTGATACCAGTCAGATAGCATGACTGGGCCGATGTCGATGTCGTAGTTTTGCAGACTCTTGGGCCCGTAAACCACAATAGGTCCAGCTAGCCCATTGATGTACTGTGCAGAATAGTGACCATGC